CTTTGGGTAAATACCTAGGAGTGGAATGGCTGGATCATATGGTAGCTCCATCTTTAGCAGGTTGAGGAATCTCCACACAGCTCTCCATAGTGCTTGGACCAGTTTGCACTCCCACCAGCAGTGCAGGAGAGTTCCTTTCTCTCCACATTCTCCCCAACATTTGTTGTAGCTAGTCTTTATAAAAATGGTAGAATAGTTACAGGGTTGTAGGGAAAATGTTAAGTTGTCAGGTTTTTCCTGCCCTCCCACCTTTTGGCAGCACCTGGAGTGCAGTGTGGGCGTGCTGAGCCGAGGACAGCCTGTGGGGCAGAGAGCAGCAGATGACACCGGAGAGACCCCAGAGGGCCAGAGAGCCCGGAGAGTGTGAAGATTCACCGAGGCAGGAGGCCTGGAGCCCTGCACACTGCAGGGGCTCCATAAATGCTAGTTCCTTCTCAGAAAGACAGAGGAATACGGTGTGCACAGGCTTAAGCAGGCAAACAGTTATCCCTGTAAGCCTCTGCGGACACTTCCCTAAGCTGCACACACAGACGCACTGAGGAAGGCTGTGGGGTCCCCACCTGGGGGTCCCCAATCTCACTCTCCTCGCCTCTGTGACCTGGCTGTGGCCGCCACGATAGTTGCTAGGGTTTATCCTCAGCATTTACCTAATGTTCCTGCTCTACGTTTCCAGCAGTTACCAGCGGTAGTTTCATTGGCTACTCAAAAAAAATAACATCAAAGAACTGAAATGTTATTTCTAATATGCTAAGTTAGTTCACAAGAATAAAATTTAAAAACTCTAAAGACCCTTTTAAACCTGGACTCACAGAATGGGTGGAGTTTCTCCAGGCCTTTAGCAAAACCCACAGGACATTCTCATCTACTGTCTGAGAAAAGCAGAGAGAGATGAAGTAGCTGGATCAAATTGGCACCCTTATCAACGAGCCAAATTCCTTGAGGGCTACAGTCACTCCTGGTGGCTTTCCAAGTGGAGGAGATCTTGTTGCAAGTTGGAGAGACAACACATGGCAGAGAGAAACCACGGGGAAAACCACTGGGACCTCTACCCCAGCTTGAGGGCATGAAGAGCACACAAATCTTTAATAACAAACACCATTTGCAAAATAAGAGGTGAAGGGCCAAGACTAAGTTTTACCATTCTAATTCCACCATTAATGAGCTTTAGGACACCAGGCAAGTTACTGAATGCAAATCGATTTCCTTGTGTTAGAAACAGGGCGCTAGTACCTGCCTTAGAGCCTGGCTAGGAACAGCGTATGTTCTGTGGTATTATTGTAAAATCCAGGGCCTCTGCTCCTGAGAAAACATCACACAAATTATGCAGACAGAGAGACATGGACAGAATGGCCAGCACTCTTCAGGAGTACCCAGGTCATGCAAGACTGAGCAAGTGCCACACCCTGAGGAGACAGGACAACTAAATATAATGTGGGTCCTGGATTTGGTCCTGCACCAGAAAGAGACTAGTTAAAAAGCTGGGGAAAATTGGGCCTCCCCTGGTGGCGCAGCGGTTGAGCGCTGAGCTGCGAAGCTGCCCGCAGCCTCTGCAGCACCGGTTTGATCCCCGGCTGCCAGCGAGGGTCCCTCATGGCGTGACAGACATCTCCCGCTGCGCCCGCTGCTCCCCTCAGCAGTGTATTTTGTCAGTCTGCCTGTTCTGTTCCCCGCTCTGTCTCTGGTGAATTCTCTCACCCTCCCGTGCTTCTGACTATACCCAGTGCTTGTATAAATAAATAAAAAAATCTTTAAAAAAAAGCTGGGAAAAATTGAAATAAGAGTGTAGCTAAAATAACAGCACAGCGCCAACTTAATTTCTTGTAGAGACTAGGGATACTGTATGCTAATTTTGCAACTCTGAACTTATAAAGCAGTTAAAAAAAGCAATTTTAAGAATGTCTTGTGAGAACCAAATACAAGTTGAAAAAAATTAATGCAGTGCTTATTTTTTTGTAGGCACAATTCCTCTGACCAGTGGTTACACTTAGTGTCCATTAATTGTAGGAACAGTAAGTTACTACTGGCTGATGCCAGGTTGGGGACTGCTAATAATGAAGTGTTGGATTCAACTGCAATAAACCACGGACATTGTATATTGCAACTGAATGATTACAGATATTCTTACAAAGGGCTACTAACCATCGATATTTCACTCTTTGCACAATACTATTATAAGGTCAAAGAAGTACAGATTCCATGTGTTTGGCCAATGATGACAGGCTTAAATTCACTGAATGCCACCAGTATTTAAACATAACAAGTCAGAGCTTCATTCCTCTAACTCGGTGACTACTCTCATCTTGTCAGACTTCAGTGGTTTTCTATCAGGCAACATCTGGCAAAATAAACGCTTTTCTATAAACTGTAGCCATCTCGTAAAGATACAGCTCCATACACTGTTATTCCTGTTTGTCCCTATTTTTAACTTAAAACTCCAGTTCACATCTAGTCTTGAGGGGCCAAAGCCTTCTTTTAAGATAATTAAACTTCCCCAAATGCCAGGCTTCTGACCCAAGATTTTGTTTTTTAAAGAAAACATTGAAACACCCTAGAAATCGCTACACTCTTGCAGCCAGTTTCCAACAAGGCTCCTTCATTTTTGCTCTCACCTTAGGGAATAACTGTAGGGTCAAAACTAATAACCAGCATTTCTTAGTTATTTCTTGGCATTTGATAGAATCACCCGTGGTGGCTATTCGTTTTTTCTATTAGGCTACACCATTGCAAAATAATTTTTGTTTTCAAAAAGGTTATGAGATATCATAAAAATGTCTACTGCATCTGGTTTACGAATCCAATTCTTCCCTCACATATTTCTGCATCTGTTCAGAAAATCTCTTTGACTTCAAAGGAAGCATTTCAAGAGAAATAGAAGATACATACAGGAAAAGTGGTCATAAATTTTTAGTAGTTCTTTTCTTAGGCCATTTTAATAACAGCACTGTGGGAAAGTATCTCTCTGAGACCTAAAATATCACAGATGATATTAACAACTATGCATCTATATGGAGATTTATGCTTTAAGAACTTTATTCTGGATCTAAAAGTGATATATCTTCAATTTAGAACATGTGAAAGACAAAGAATGCTTAAAGAAAAAAAATCACTTTAAATTCACTGTTTAGGAAGACCAATGCACAAGAAAGAATGTTAAGAAAGGTTGTTTCTTTCCAGCCGTTTTTTTCTGTGCAAACATTTCTAAAAATATTTATTTACAAATATAATATTATAATTACACTATGAATACAATTTTATCTTTTTTCAGCTGGTCTTTGAAAAGAATACCATTAGTCTTTCATGCACACATATTTTTAAGTGATTTAAAATTATCTGTAGATTTATAGTTTTTAAAAAAAGTTTTAACCCACATTTTAATTTTTATTCTCCTCAGTTATATTACAGGTTTGGAAACATTAATGTGTTCTGGGAATTCTACATCTTGAACACTAAATTAACAGCTGATTAAGATAACTATATTCATATATGTCACTGAAACATCAGTAGAGGCTTAAGAAAATTTTTCTCTTTAAAATGTTTAATGACCTTAACATTCCCCGTTAATTATTAGTGGGCTCAAATTTACTAGTTTTTCTTTTCTTTTTGCTTCTCTACTTCTTGTGACATTCTTAACTCTTGAGTTTGAAAAGGAGTTTGGGTGTAAGACTTACTTTTTACTATATAGTAATTAATTTTGGTTCTGTATAGCCAAACTCTCAAATTTCAAGAAGAGAAATATTTAATGGATTTATCTAATTCTGAATCAAGTTGTACCTGACACCGCCGACTAAAAGTGAAAATAACAATTGAAATGCTATGTTTTTGACAAAGAGTTTTCTGGTATAATATAGCCTTTATTATTACAAGAATTTTGTGAAGGTCATATCAACGAACTTATTTAATGCAGATAGGGAAGCCATTTAAGGGATGATTAGAAAAATTAGAATTTAATTCCTGGTTTTCATCATCTCACTGGCTTCACTCTGTCTTCATAATCACAAACCCTACTTCCCATACCATAAGGAACATTACTGTGTCAATCAGTTCAACCCTCTCTCCACCCATTTTACTAAAGAAAATATGAGATTAAGAGACTTGGTAGGACCCACAGCCAGCAAGTGGCAGACGAATTCCCTGACTTCTGGTTTCACTTCCAGTCGAGTGCTCTTTCCAATACACCATTATGATTCGAAATTCCCCCACTCATGCATCATGACAAGTGAATATGCAAGATGCCAGGAGATTACCTAATAACCACAGAATCTCAACTTTTGCCTCTGGTTCCCAGAGGATATCTTCCAAGAGATCTGAAGACGTTCTGTAAATGTCTGAATGAGTCAAATGATATATATGGATTTTTTCTTTTGCCATGTATTTACAATTCCAACTACGGAAGAGCAGAGCGCTCTCAGTGCAAAAGCTGTGGTCAGCAGAGCTGCCAGGAGCAGGACAAGAACGACGCACTTGGGGGCAGCTTGCGGCAATTCCCTTACACAGCTCACGGGATATAGGATTTGGGGCAAAGAGGAGGAACCAGCATAGAATTCGCTCAAGGACTTAAACGGCCCAACTCCTAACAAGACAAGACGCCTTCTCTCCATTTCCCCGCAGGCCACCTGGCCTGCAGTTAGGGGAAGGAGAACGAAACAGCAATGGGGCCGCGAGAACGACAGCCGCCCCTGAAACCACAGCCCCTCGGGTCTCCATTAACATCCCCAGGGCTCGGCTTCCCCTGTTGCCTGGCAACACTTCCGGGTCGCGGAAGGCTCCTAGCGGAGAGGGGCGGCGCGCTCCGCCCACCGGAGCGCGTTACGTCATCGCGCATCGTCGCAACGTCGCCGCGCTCTAAGTAGGAGGGCAGTTTTAGGCGAGTCCGCACTAGGAGAGGAGTCGCCAGCAACACCTCAGAGGAAATAGCAAGAAAAAAAGCAAACGGAGGGAGGGAGGCCGGGAAGGACCGAGCCGTCTGGGAGGCCCGCGGGGGAAGGGCCAGCTGCGGTTACCTGGGGAGTGGGCGCCGCTTCGGGTCCTTTGTGAAGTGCCCGGATGAAGGTCCAGCACCCACGCGCCTTCCGTGTTGCGTGCAGCGCCATTTTGGGAAGGGCGGAGCCGTCTGCTTTGAATGACGTCGGCCAAGAGCCAGGCCTATTTCCGCCCCAGTTTTGCTTGCCGCGCATGCGCAGGCCCCGGGCCAGGTTAGGGAGCAATTGGCTGGGGGGGGGTCTCTGGTCCTTGCAAAGCAGGTGGGGACCGCCAGCTCCTGGCTTTGGCTCTAGTGTTGTCCTCCGAAGCCTGGTCTTTGCGCAGGCTTGTGGGGGGCTGTTGGGGGTAGGGAGTCTCCTTAGGGGGTGTTAGTTGCAGCGTTCTAAACTGAGCCCATCGGATCCCAGCCATCCAGAGGGAGCTATAAACAAAACAAATAAATAAATAAAACATGCCTCTTTAATAAATAAATAAATAAATAAATAAATTCAAAGGTTTCCTTGTGCAAAGTGGCCGCCCCAGCTTCACAGGGGGCGGTAAATCATCTTTGGCAGTCATTCGGTCTGCACACTTTGTGGAACCCTGCTAGCTGCTTGGTTCTGAAGGTTCAAAGAGGCTCTGCAGACCCTGTACGGCCTAACATGATAGAGTCACTGGTGAATAAATGATGCTCGGGTTTAGATGTTACAGCAACAAACACCACAGGTGGGGAGGTGGGGCATTTAGCGAAAAGCTGCTTCCCCCGGGCCGGAGAAGGGGCCTGGGAGCATGTGATAGAAGAAAGTGTTTCGTGTTTTGGTTAAATTACGAGTTTACATGACACGCCGCTTCTGGGAACGCACCCTGAAAGGTCCCAGACAAATAGGACTCTCTCCTTTGGAAGACATTTGTCAACATCCCCCTGTGTGTTTCGTGGTATTTGCCCATTGGCTAAATACTGAAAATAACTGCATTTCTGTAGAAAGTGGTAATAGAGAAATGAAATTGGAGATCTCATACTCTTAGAGATCTGAAATCTTAACAAGCTAAGATAAAAACTTGTAAATTATGACCATACTGTAAAATGTAACCATTGGTGCAAAGAACTGATGAAATTGAAAATATAATCCGTGTACTATAGAAAGAAACAGGGAAGGAACTGTAGAAATGAAGGCAACAATTTTTAAAGTTTACTAAGGAAACCAAGCCTCATTTTCAACAAAACTGTCTCTTAAGTTTGAGGTGCTGTAGTACTTCTAAATGTGATGCCCATGGGGCAGATATTAGGGTCTGAAGGTCAGGAGAGAGGTCTGAATTACAAAACAAATGGTAATTGGAACCCAGGAAATTTCTGAGACCATCAGAATTTGTGGAGTAACAGTGGCCAGAGAATGGAATTTTAAAGATGCAGCCAAGAGATATTAAAACCCCCCAAAATGGAATGTGTCTGCAATCCAGGAAAGACTTTGCCAGTGAATGTGATGATTGATCTTTACAGATTCTAATCCTTTGTAAACATGTAGTTTTATTATAATTGTCAAAGTGTTTCATACTCATACATTTAGGAAAAGCATCAAAATGCAGGTTGTTTTTTTTTTTTTTACAGGACTGACACACTCAGCCATCCCAGTTTATAAGATGACACAATAAGGCAAAGGTTGCAGCAGAATCTGTCAAGGGGCCTGCTGATTTCATGTCCTCAAGCAATGATTTTAGTCTTAGCTACGAAGACTCACATGACTGATATAATTTTCATGAGAGATTCCCAAGACTTGCTCCCATGAAGAAGATACATCAGAACACAAATGTAGTCACTTTAATATCTGTGTTTTGAAAAGTAAGTTATTTTTAGACTTAGAAGTAATAAATTGTCTTCCCCACCACAGGAGTCACCTGGGGACTCCTGAGCGTCACCTGGCAAGGTTGCCCCTTGGGCAAGAACTGTATTTTGTTCTTACATTTCTCCCAGTGCCTAGTATACCTTGTGCAGAGTAGGCTTAGCTTTTTGAATCTAAATTCATTTTTTAATAGATTTATATAATTATGCATACAAAAGCTCGGGTGTAGACCAGAGGTGCAGGGTTGGGGGGTGGTGAGAGGATTTACCAGAAACACAGTAAAGAGCAGAAGAGGCAGATGTACTGAAATACACTGCTGAGGGGAGCCGCAGGTGAGTCAGGAGAGGTCTGCTGTGCCATGTGGGTAGCTCCCTGGCCGGGGATCTAACTGGTTCTGCAGAGACTGGCGATAGCAGCATAGTGCTGAGACTTAACCCTTTGCACCACCAGGGAGGCTCAGAATCTAAATTCTGTTTTAACAGAAGGAACAGCAGAAAAGACATTAAACCTATTAAAAAAGCAAGTAAGTTCTCTCTGCTTCTGTAATGTTTAAAATAACATTCTGAAATCTTTTGGTGCTGGAGAGAATTTCACAAAAAACTCACCTTGGTATAGATCACCAGCTTCTGCTCTTCTAAGAAAAACACAATATTCACCATATTTTAATATGTATTTTTAATATCCTGAATCTTCAGGAAAAGAAACAGTGTATTTTTTTGTTAAAGGTTTAATTATTTATTTATATAAGCACTGGGTACAGTCAGAAGCACAGGAGGGTGAGAGAACTCACCAGAGCCAAAGGGGAGAGCAGAGCAGGCAGACTGACGAAGTACACCGCTGAGGGGAGCAGCGGGCAGCAGGAGAGGTCTGCGCGCCATGTGGGACACTCGCCCTGCGGCCAGGGATCGAACCAGCGCTGGCAGAGGCTGTGGGCAGCTTTGCAACCCAGTGCTCAACCGCTGCGCCAACAGTGTATCTTTTTAAGAAAAATTGTGTAATGCATTTTTGAAATGTTTCTATACAAATGGTTAACCTTTAAAAATTTTATGTAAGCAGGGTTAGTTTGGTTACATGGGAAGTTCATTTATAGAATATTATATTCTCCAACAGTGTTGTTTAAAAGAAGCACCACTATGTTTGTTGGTAGTATTTTACCATTGCTGTCATTTGGTAAGCCGAAGAACTTTAGTAAAATGAGATATAATTGTATTGAAAGCAGACTTTAGATATATTCGTGATTAAAAACTTTTATAATCACAGAGCATGTACCTAATGTCTACATATGTTCATGCTTACAATTTTGAACACTTGTTTAAAATTTGATTTCTCATCAACACTTTTATTTTATAGTAAGTTCTGGTAATTTTGCTCTTTCCTTAACATTCCTTGCAAATCCCATCTTGCTTGAAACAATAGATTAAAACCAGACTGGCAGTTGGGGAACACTTTCTATTGCAACCATGTGTGTCAGAAGAAAGGATTAGATTTCCTTGTTCAAGAACATCAAGGGGAACCTCTACCTCTGCAGACACACCTCTACTCCTCAGTAATGGAGAGTTTATATCTAGTTAGATTTAAATGGGATAAGGAAAGAGTTTAAATCCACTCTCAGCTCTAGTAGTATAATCAGCCCTCAAGTCTCAACGTATCCAATTTTGTTTCTCTAATTTAATTCTAAGTGTCAGGTTGGTATTAAATGCTGATCAAGGTAATGGAGAGTTACCCTACACGTTGATTCACTTAAAGAAGAATTTCACAGAATGCAAAAGGTAGCTGGCAACTTTGTTCGGAACATTTAAAGCACAATCCACTGGCCTCTGATTTTTCATTTATATTGAATGTGTCTTAAATATAGAGGAAGAGAGTCCAATATGAAGGCAAACCTTTCTCTTCATAATCTGGGGCACAACTGCAGTGTCCTGGCCGTGCCATCGAATGTCTGAAGGTTATAAAGGAGCCTTGTCTAGCGGACACAGAGTCTGCTGTTGAGAGAGAGAAATTTCAAGAGTCATTAAGGAATGTGGGAAAACAGAATAATGATTTTGAGTTTGTTCTTTTTTACCTCTGACTTAATTTTAGCTCTGCCCCTCATAGCTGATGAAACAGGTCAAAGGATATCAAAGAAGTTTATAACTTTATAAAAATCACACCATGCATATGAGCAGGAATGGAAAGGACTTGAATCTTCAGACAAGTGCTCTGCTTTAAGCAAAGCTGAAGTAGCTGTGGCTAGGACTGGGTTCAGGGAAAGGTTTTGCCTAAAGTCCTCTCCTTGTGTCAGCTTCATAGTTGGGGCAATTAATGACTGGTTTTTATTTATTTATTTTTTTATTTTAATAATAAATTTTATTTTTATATTCCCCATACAATTGCAGCCCCCCCATTCTGACCCCAATCTCTCCCCTCCCACCCCCGCCCCCTTAAAAGTGTCTCTGGTTCGTAGTTTTTTGTTGATTTTGATTTTCACTTTCTTATAGTTATAATGACTGGTTTTTAAAGGGTTAATGCTCTCCTCTCTCCACCTCTAACATTAAAAGATGCTGTCTTTCCCTAGTAGTTTTTCTGAGGGTGCAAATTATAGCATCTTTGTATGAGATTATTAATCAGGAGGGTTTTCTGGTCCTGAAAACAAACTTAAGGGCTTTCAGGGAGCCGTCGCTACTATTTTTTTACTGAAGATGCCATCCAGCAAAACCAAGGGACAGGCTGAGGGTTGTGGATCGCAAAAATATTAATTTTCTCAGAGTACCTTTTCTTAAAATTAAGGCCAAGGCCACTGTTTTTTTCAGGCTCAACTTCTTACTTTCCGACTCTCCTATTCCACAACAATGAAGACATTTTGATGGGGTTGGAAGCAGGTGGGGTGGATGAGAAGAGTCAGAACAGACATAAGTGAGTAATTTGCATGTATTGATCTTGAGAGAACTGATTCCACTCCTTGCAAAGTCCTTGATGTGCAGTGTCTGGAGGAGGGCTGATTACAAGGGGCTGTTGCAGGCCTGAAATTCCTGTTCACGTTTAAAGCTTTTTTTTTTTCCTTAAAGATTTATTTATTTATGCATACAAGAGCTGGAGTACAGGCCAGAGATGCGGGGGGTGAGAGGATCCACCAGAGACAGAGTGGGGAGCAGAACAGGCAGACTGGCTGAAATACACTGCTGAGGGAAGCAGCGAGCGAGACAGGAGACATCTCTGCACCATGTGGGTTTCTCCCTGGCCGGCTGGGGATCGAACTCATGCTGCAGAGGCCATGGATTGCTTCACAGTACGCTGCTCAAACCCCTGTGCCACCAGGGAGGCCCATT